AGAGATATATATATATATATATAATCAAGATTTGGTTACTTGAATAACCTATTTATGTGCACACTTGGGTTTACTTTCCTTGTGATATAAGGCAATACTTAAGTTTGTATTCCTTTTCAAGCTTCCTTGGGTTATTGGCCCAAAGCTGTCCTGTCGTGTTACATCACTTCGCCGTGTAGCATGCACGTACACACGCTTGTTTCGCCTCGGGCATTTGTTTGCGTGTCTCCACACATTCAAACCTACATACAAGGTGTATGCATTGGATGTGCACTGATCAGAGACTGTAGCATACGTTTCGTTTTACGCTGGTTCGCATCGTCGCAGTGTATTGGATCGGTGCACACCAGCTATTGTTGGGCGATCAGTTCGGTCCTTCACTTGATGTTGGTCTTTTGGTTGATCACGGTATATATGTTGACTACTGGGGCGTTACCTTCAGAGATCATATTTGCAAAACACATCCAGTATCACTTGGGGGGAGACCCTGCCAATAGGCATCGTAATCAATTGGTATCAGTATGTTTTACAGCAAATGTACTGTCTTACCTTGCTTCATCTATCTCGCTACTGACTATGAAAGAGACTACCAATACACATCTAAGTATCTGGTATCAATTCACCGTATATCGAATGTACGTTCTTCCATACTGTTCTATGCCTTACCCGCCGCATCCGCATTTCTCCCGCGCTATGCAGAACCGTGAGTTGCAAATCATGCGATTGCTGACACACAACAACGTCGTGCAAATGCTGTACTTCTTCTACTCCAACGGAGACAAGAAAGACGAGATCTACCTACACTTGGTGCTCGAATTCATCCCCGAGACAGCCTACCGCGTTTGCCGGAATTACACCAAACTCAAACAGCACATGCCCATCATCTTTGTTAAGCTATACACCTACCAGCTGTTCCGGTCCCTGTCATATATCCACTCACAAGGCATCTGTCACAGGTATGTGTTTAATACAGTTTAATACACTTTGCACAAATACATACACATACAACACACACACACACACACACACACACACACACACACAACACACACACACACACACACACACACACACACACACACACACAACACACACACACACCACACAACACACACACACACACACACAACACACACACACACACACACACACACACACACACACACACACACACACACACACACACACACAC